TTCATACCACTCACCATATTACAATGAAAACTTAAAAAAAACAAATAAAAATGAAATAAATTTTTTTTTAATATATGTATATATATATTTTGTTTTTTTAAGATAAATATTTTAGAGTTAATGATGAGTTGTTTCTTTCAAAAACGTTTTCTCTAATTGGTGACGTATTTCCGCTCTGGGGCCACAAGAATCTAAGCCCATAGACTCTTGTTGAAAGCTGTACATGCGCAGTTAGCTCCTCTTCATTACAAGAAATAGGAATATTCTGGGCGCACCAGTCCAGCGCCCTGAATACCGTCACACTTTACAGATTGTGCTTTCGGCCCCACTGTCCCGGTACAGATTTATTTATTTTTCAAATAAATAGATGTAATGCACAGCATTAGTTGAGGAGGGAGATTGTTCAAAAGGGCGAATGTTATGTCTTTTTCTTTTTATTTCATTTTGGGAATTTTTCAGGAGCAGATATTAAGCTCACGCCCGAGGGGTCAGAGAAGGTGGCGGCAGCCAAAGGTCAGCTTGAAAAGCCTGCAGGGGTGAGGCTTGGCTGCTGGTACCTTAACTCATGGAGGAGGAAGCTGAGTCGAGTAGATCGGCCTCAGTGGAGATGAAGACGTGCTAACCAGCAGATATTGCTAGCTGATAGAAGTGGAGACAAGAGATAAGATGCTGAAACAGTTCCAAGAAAGCCAGGCTTGTGGAGTTTCCCCCACACTGCTCAAAGGGTTGACAATTTGATGGTGGTTTTCAGCCAGGAAGCAGGTGGAGAGAAGTATCAACAGGAGGTCAGTGGGGAGGATGGGAGACAGGAGTCACCTGAAGGGGAGCAGGAAGACAAAGAGGTAGAAGCCACAACAAGTGGAAATTTGTGTTTTTGCAAAATATGTAGGGAAAGCTGAGTTTTTTCTGCTCATCAGTGGTTTTTTGTTTGAAAAACTTCTAAACGATTATGGAAGCATTCAAAGACGGTCTCAGAACATACCACGGGTTATAGATATTGTTTCAACAGTTTGTGAAGAGCCAAGAATTTTTTGTTTGTGTCTTGGTTGTTGATGAACTATTTATATATTTAGCAATGCCCTAAATCCTTTCTCTTTTTCGAATGTTGAGTTAGGTCCAAGCTCATGTCCTATTAATGTAGACAAAGCTTTTCTTTTTCACGTTTATCTACAAGTAAATTTTCTGCTGTTTCTTAAAGCAAACACTGCAGCATGAAGGACTGAGAGACTAATTTACTTATTTTCAGATGACATGATTTAACTTTTTTTGTGTGTTTTATGTACCTGGATGATTGAGCTTACATCAGGACTTAACCTTTGTATGTTCACATTAATTATATTTTGTACAACGTTTGCAATTTAACTACTTCTGCAGGATTACTGCTAATTTTTAGCCATTCAAATGTCAAAACCTTCAGCTTATTTAGAAAATGGGTTTCACGGCGTTTAGTTTTTGTTGCCGTCATGCTTTTCACAATAATTTTTCCCCCTTAAAATCAATTGAGATCACTTCTGCTCCTTTAAATAAGTTGTTTTCTCCTTCAGCCTGTTTTATCTTTCTCTTAAATTATACTTTTAGCTAGCCTGGTTCTACTTTTAGCTTTAAGCTCTACTTGTTTTAGCCAGCCTTTTGATAATTTTACCTTGTAGCTATCCTGTTGCTCCTTTTCATTAGCCTTTTGCTATTTTTGTCTTACAGCTAGCCTTTTGCTTCTTTAGCTTTTAGCTAGCCTTTTATACTTCAGCTTTTAGCTAACCTTTTGCTACTTTCAGAACAGTTCCTTTAGTTGTTATCAGAAAACTGAGACCATTAGATAAAAAGAAAATGTGCAATACAAGTCAAAAGTTTGGACCCATTTATAGAAATAAATAAAACAGTCAGGCCCAAATTAGAACACATTAATGTATTTAAAGTATTTCCTGCTTCTAAAAAACAATATTTGGTTTTGTTCGTTGTTCTACAGGATCGAGACTTGCTGTATGTTGTACCTGTGTGATGTGATTTAACACCCCCTGAGATGAAACTGTCTAGAGAAATTTCCAAACTGTCTAATTTATATAAAGAATCAGACGAAGAATTTCTGTAACTTTGTGTCTTTTATAGATGACACTCCCACCCTCCTAAAACACATGACAGTCACAAGGCACAGTTTGTGTCAAACTCGTCCTCGGACTTATTCTCAGCGGTGAGTTTTAATCATCCCACCCCACTCACCTACCTTCCCCATACAAAATCCTTCTGTAACTTCAATCACTCACAAGAATATTCATGACATGATGATGCTTTTCACGCAGGAATGTAGATAAAAACAACAAATAAGTACACATTTAAAGGGTTTTGCTAAGAGTGTTCTTGTCTGTGTGCCACAGTACTATTATTATCACCCACTGCCAAAAGACAGGCAGCCAGTGATGTTTTTACCAGTGTTTGTGTATCTGTTATTAAAAAAAAATGCATGAATTCTGGAGAGATTTGAATGAAATTTGCAGAAAGTTTTGTAGGAATGCGCATCTGCAGCTGAATAACTTTTAGAATGAACCTGACTCAAGATGACTGCCACAGCCAAGTGAGCATATGAAACACACAAATGGCTCTAACTGCGTCAGTTTTACAGCTGTTGACCTAAATGTTGGTGTGGTAGTAGCCGAGACTGATCCCCAATACATATTCTGAGAGCTAACTGATCACATGAGCTTATCATTAAAATGAGGTTTTTACTTATTTGGAGTCAGCTTGATTTGTCTGTTAGCAAAATATCATATGAGCCTCTATACCTATTTTAAAGAAACTTTTAGGAAGTAATAAGTAAATGTATCTCTACAACTGATTTCATTTTAGAGCCAACTCGATTCAAAATGACTGCCATAGTCAATTGATTTGGGAAAACTCAAAAATGGCTATACAGTAAGTCAGTTCATTTTGCAGAATTGTGCTAAAACTTGGTGTGATTGTTGCTGAGAGTCCTTCACAACACAAACTTCAACTACTTTTTTCACAAGACTTTTCTTTAAAACAAGTATTGACTGTTGGAGTCAACAGGGTCTGTTAGCATAATATCTCCTAAACCACAAGGCATATTTTAACAAAAGTTTCAGAAATTAACTATTGGATGTACAGTTACTACTGATTAACCTTTGGAGCCGTTGCAATTGACGATCGCCACCACAGCTAATCAAAATTAGCCAACACAAAAATGGCTATAATCCCGTTAATTTTACAGAAACTGGGCTCAAATTTCATATGGTAGTAGCTGAGAGTTATTCACAGCATGCTTTCTATTGTGATATCTTCTTATATTGCACATAACAGTTTCAAGGCTTGACTAGAACGTCATTTCTCGCCACATGATCTTAGCCTAATCCTCTAGCATGAATGTTGATGTGCAATTTGCATTCCTTTAACAAATGCTTTTTAATTATGAATGATTTTTACCGAAAAAATAAATTGTATGTGGCAGATCTATCGGCTGACATTTTTAGGTCAGCTAGAGTTTATACACCAATTAGAGTGGAATCCTTTTTGCCACCATACCCCGTCATCCCACCACACAGAGGCCAAGTTCATTCAGGAGTAATTTAATTGCATACTTCATGTCCAGATTTTTCTTGCTCCAGTGGCTACATTGTACGCAGATGACGAACCCTTTTCAAATTGGGAGTTCAGATGCCGAGGGTGGGGAGCATGGCTCTTGGACAGGACGTCCCCTTTTTGCAGGTTTGTTGCATAATTATAGCAGAAAGAGAAAGATGAGTAGTTGAGGTTTTTATAACAGTGAACATTCCCATCCAAAAACATGTCTAAAGACACAATCAACACCCAAAAACACATTCACTACAACATAAAAATTTGCATAAGTTGTTTTATTCGTAGTTATTGTCCTTGTATATTTCTTAACTGGTTGTTTTTTTATATATATATATATTCTTTTGTTGAAGTGGACATCCTGTAAGTCAAACCTGAAGCCCTTGGTTGAGTTGTTCTCCGAACTGAAAAGAAAGAGAGTGCGGAGAGGTTGGGGAGGCGGGGGGGCTTCCTCCTCCGCCTCACCAGCTCAACCTTTGTGTTCATCTGTTTGAACAAAGACAGCATATTTACACATCATACTGACGGACAGTTTCCACTTAGATAATGCAAGGAAGATTGAACTTTCAAGGTTTGTGTTTTCAAATTCTTGTTCTCCTTCGATCCACTTTCCACCTCAATTGTCGTTACCATCATTATAACGTTAAATCACCATTTCTATTATGATATATCTCTTTCTTTTTTATTATTTTTTTTTTTATAAATTTCTCTCTTAGAACTGTACAATCGTAC